TTTATATATTCCTCTTTATCCTCCCCGCCTCAGACAATCTCCCAGACCTGAGCTGCTTTTGCAGCAGTCTAATAATTTATAATTTAGCTAAATCCAGCGGGGCAGGGGTCTATCCCTGCTGTCCTCGAAGCAGGAATTTCACGGAACGGATTTTAATCCAGCGCTTGCCACAATAATCTGTGGGGGTTTGGATGTTTTGGACAGCGCCAAAAGGCTCTAAGAGAAGCCTCCCCCCCCCCCCGTGTTGTTGTTTATTAGCCTTTCCCCGCGGTCCCTTCTCCCTTGCGCCTCGATCCGCAACTCACTTAAGCCGAAATATTTCCCTTTCAGGCGCTCCAGCCCAGGCGGAACCTGCCGTGGACTGGGGAGCTGCTTGAAGCCCCCTCTCCGGTGTTTAACTGGAATAGGTACCGGAGCGATGTTAAGTGTCAAAAGGTCCCTGGAGTGATTACACCCACAAGGTGAATAGAGCGCTTCCCTCGCGCTGCATTTAACTAGCACACAACGGACCTAACCTTTGCTGCTGCCTGGGCGAGGTAGGAAGGAAGGGAAAAAGAGATCTTAAATCTTTGGGTTTTTTTTCCTCCCCAAGCTTACTGAAAAATGATCTGTTTGTATTTTTGCCGAGCTCCCACCCTCCTCGGTACTCTGTGACACTGACTTATTGGCTCTGAACTTAGTGGAAACTCTCATTGCCCCTGCGATCGATCCCAGTCCTTTCTCGCAAATAGAGTTTTTTCACCTATTCGCCAAGCACCTTCCAGGATGCTCAGCTTCTAAAGCCCGCTTACATCCTATTTACTGGCGGGGAGGTTGCACAGAAATGCACTCCGCGCCGCCGCTCCCCAACCACTGCCACGGCTTTGTTTTCGTGAAATTAAGAGGGGATTTCAGGTCGTCTTCCTGCAACCTCCCCGGCCCCCCCACAACCTGCAGAGCATCCACCGCACACTTTTCACTGTCTCTATTTTTTAATTTTTGCAGGTGGAATGGCGTTGACCGGCCTCTCTTTCTCACTCTGTATCTGTTTGTTTCCTTCATTTGTCTGGGTCACCTTCTGCAGATGTTGCCTCTAAAGTTACCAAGCAGGCAATTTCTGCAGCACCTCATTCCTGAATAATTCAGGGCACCTTTGATAACTCGCATTACAGAGTATTAAAAGGCAACAGATGCAAAAAAGATTAAGGGATTAATAATTCAGATTATTGCACCTGCGTCTCCCCAGCCACACACCAGCCCAAGTTCTGAATTCACTTCCTTCGGGGTTAGAGTCTGTATTTATTTATTTTGTCTCTCCTTTCCTACGGCTGTTTCTCGCTTTTCGTGCTCCGGCCGTCCCTTTGTAACGCAGGGCGCTCGTTTAACGGCGCACGCTTTTACCCGGAGCAAGTCAGAAGAGGTTGTGGGGGTACGAAATTCACCCCGTTTCCAAGAAACAAAAAAAAAACACACCCCGCATTTGCAGGAGGGAATTAAACCTTCCGATGAGCCACGTTGTTTAATTTTAAATGGTTCTAGATATACCTAATGTGGGATTCGGCCTGTTAAAACATTCCTACATCAAACTGCAGCTGAAATCATTTCAGTTTTGCTTTTATAAGAGGCAGGTGATTGACACGAAATGTCAAAAAATGAGAAAAATATAGACAACGGTCGGTTTTGGTTGTTTTTTTTTAAAGGTATTTATTGGTTGGAACATCGGTCCTTTTCGCCCGATTTCCTAGTCCCAAAATACGTTTTAACTCCTAACACATTATTTCCCCCTCCTTTGTGTCTTTTTAAGCGTGATTTTTGTGTAGGGCATATGCTTGAAAGTTAAGGATGTCAAAAGTTAGGGATTGCTGTTAATTATTCATTTACTGACTCTCTCAGTCTCCCCTCTCTGGTTTCAACTGAACGTTGTTGCTTTTTGTTTTGTTTTAAACAGAATTGTTTCTCCGCAATTTCCTTTTAAATACAAAGTGTTAGGCAAGGCGACGGTGAGCCGCGACAATAAGAAGAAAGAGCCAGGTTGATTTCTGGGTTTTGCTCCTCCTGAAATGGATTGAGAAAGAAACAATTCCGGGATCCTCTGCCCCTCCGCGTCAGACATGGATGCATTTAAAAGACAGGCCGAGGATTTGGGGCGGCGGGGGATGTGGCAAACGGAAAGCTCAACGCACAAAACTTCAGAGAAGGCAAAGCGAATCGAACGGAAAGGCCTTTAAAATCCTTATTTTAAAGGAAGCGCTCTCAGCTTACGCCAAGGCTGGCATTTCCGTTCCTGACCCCCGTTTAATAATTACAAATCAGATAATGCAAAATCTAAGGGGAAAGGCAGTATATAGATTTATACCGACGTCTTATAAGCACACTATATTATGTTCCTATCCAATTATAATTTCATTATATCTACGGGCTTTTCTCCTGCCTAACTGAAGCCCTAGGTTGCATTTTTAAAGTCCAGAACTCCTCCGAACTACTTCAAAGATTTGGCTCTATGGAAAGGGAGTTGGGGGTCTTCACTCCGCTAACAGTGTCGCCAGGAGTGTGGGGTGAGGGGGTCCCTTCTAAAACCTCTCCCCACCCACCCCCCGCAGTCCACTAGAAAGTGGAAGGACTGCCACGGCTGCCCGGCCTTTTTCCTGCTTCACCTTCCAGCCGGCGGAGATGGCAAGCGGGGAAGGGGCTCTCAGGTGCGGAGGGAGAGGAGAGGAGGAGGCGGCGGCGGCGGCGCCGAGGGCTGCTGCCGGTACTCACGGTGCATCGCGGAGAAGGGGTCTGCCTTGCAGTGCATATCCATGGGGAGGCAGAGGAAGGGGAAGAAGTCGGCTGACGCCGCCGTGTCGCCGCGCAGAGTCAACTTCGGCACTTGGGGGAGAATCGGGCCGGAGGCGCGGCGGAGCGGACGGGGAGCCGGCTCGGCGCGCCGACGGGGAGCCGGGAGACGGCCTAGACGAGGAGCAGAAGATGGAGAAGCCGAAGCGGCGGCGGTGGTGGCGCCGCCCCCCGGGTCGCCCTTCTTCCCTCGCTGCCGGTCCTGGGCCGGCGGAGGGCCAAGGGAACTTTCCTTCCTCGGCGGCGCTCACGATCCCCAGCCGGAGCAAGGACAGGTGCACGGCATGGCGGGGGCCCCGTCGGGCCGGCGCAGCGCAGCAGCGTCGCGCTCGGCTCTCCAAGTCGCCGGCGCCGCGGAGTTCGCTTCTGCCAAGTTCGTTCGACGGCACGGCGGCAAATCCGGGAGCGATGGGCCGGTGGGTCACCCAGGCAGGCGCTTCTTCTCTCCGCCGTCGAGGATCTGCTTCTGACTCCGCTGCTCCGGGTTCCCTAGGCGGAGGGCGAAGGAGGAAACCCGGCTCCTCCTGGTCCTTCCAGACTTTTTCCCCCCTGGCTCGCTCGCTCGCTCCCTCCTTCCTTGTCGCCTCCCTCCCTCTCCTCTCTCTCTCTCCTCCCCCCGTCTCCTTTTTTTTTTTCCTTTTTTGCACAAGGTGGGATGTGCTTGCCACGAGCTTTGCCTGGAGAATGGAGCTGCCGTCGCCGGTGTGCGCCTCTCTAAAAGCGGCAAACCCCCCTCCAGATCTCACCCCGGACTCCCCCCCTCTCCGTACACACACACACTCTCTCTCTCGCTATCCCTCTCCCTCGCACACACCTCCGCCCCCTCCCCTCTCGCTCTCGCCCTCCCTTTTTCGCCGGGCACACACACACACACACACACACAGAGAGAGAGAGAGAGAGAGAGAGAGAGAGAGAGATGGATGGCTTGTCAGACAAAGGCAATAGATTCCAACACTCTCGGATTCGCCAACACGCAGCGCCGGAGACCCGGCGAGGAAGGTCCGGCGCTCTGTCACCGCCAAAGCGAAAAACGCACCCCCTCCAAAAAAAATAAATAAATACGTACCAACAAATAAATATATCTGTGTGTGGGTGCCGGCGCGGGGGAGGGGAGCAGATCCAGGAGACCAGGGAGAGGGGAGAGGACCAAAACCGCCGAGGTATAGGGAAGGCGCGGAGTGGTTGATTGGTTGGTTGGGCGATCGGGGGATCCGGGAAGGGCCACGAAACTCGCAGGGGGCATCAACTGTTGGGTAGCACCTTGGCAAGTCCGCGGGCGCAGAGAGTCCTCGCGGCTTTGTTTTCTTCCCTCTCCCACGCCATGGGATGATGAAGGGGTCTACTTTCGTATTTTACGCGCGTTGGAAGCCTGCCGGTGTAGATGTAAATGTGCCCCCCCCCCCCGAAAACACTTCCCCCGCCGCCATTATTTGTTTTAATGTGGGAGGCCTTCCGCCTCCAGAAATCTCAGCTGCTGGAGCCGAATCGAAGGCGAGGGTCGACTTTTGCGCGCGCGCCTAAGCGCGCGCCCTCCCTCCCGGTTTGCCCCTCAGTCAAACGCAGGCGAAAGGGTCGGATCTGGAGGCGCGGGGGCCGCCCGGGCAGCGAAGCGGCCTCGGCTTAAATCGCTGGAACTCGGCGCGCTCTCCCTCGAGTCGCCTGGAGGTCGGGGCTGCGGCCAGCAAAGCCAGCAGGCACTTGTCCACCCCAATCCCCACCCGCAGACCTGAGCGATTGGGGACGAGGCCCTCGAGGTCCCGGGGATTAATCTGGGCATCGGGAGGGTCGTGTGAACCAGCTGTGTGAAGGGCCTGCGGGGAATTCAGTTTAAAAACACCTCGAACTCTGGCGTAAGAAAAATCTGGCATAGGGAGGAGATGGAAAACACTTTTTTGCAGTAGCTGTCAGTCATTTTCCAGTCCCAACCACGTTTACTCGGAGGCAAGCCCCACTGATTCCAATGGGGCTTGCTTCCAAGTAAATATGTTGGGTATTTCCGCCTTCGTGGGGCTTGTTTCAAACGTCCCAGATTTTTGTACCTCTGCCCGCATTTTCATTTCGTTCCATTAGAAACAGAATTTTAAAACCGCGCGCGTGTGTTATGACTTAATGACCCTGTCTCTTATTTTTCCTCTCCCGTTTTCATTTTAAACTTTTAATTTTTCTTTATTATTATTTTTTGTACGATATGTATTAGTATATGGATTTCAAAAACTGGCAAAAACTGAAAGAGGTGGCATCAGAAAACACGCGCAGGAAACTGACGAAAGAGAGTCGGGAACCAACCTGAGATTAATAAACAGACAGATGTGAATATTAGCTCGGGTTTTTGTTGCCTTCCTCGGCTTGTATCATTAGGCGAAGCGCCGCTCCGTCTTCCTCTGCCTTTTTTGATCCATCCTTCCCACCTCTCCGCTTATCTGTCACAAACTAACCTCTTTGTTTAATAACCAGTTAAGCCAAGGATCTCCTTGATGAAATATTTTCCTCCATCTCATAAATCAAATTGGCACTTAAGCTGATGTTCTCTCCCTTTTCTCTTCGTCTCTTTTCCCGCTCTGTGTTTACAAAAGCGCCTCTCTCTTTATTTTTCTGGACATTTTCGGCCCGCTTGTGTGTTCGGCGGCTTAAATTATTATTATTTTTCAAAAACAAAATCGCTGGACGGGTTTTCTGAGGACTCTCCTCGCCCGCGTCACACAGCAGAGAAAGTGCCCGCGCCAAATTCTCGTCCTTCTGCTTCACTGGATCAGAGATCGGTTTGCCACGGGCCTATTCTAGGAAATGGTTCGAGGGCAGTTCTAATATGTGCACAACGCTCTTGTAATCGATGGGAATAAGTAGGCTTAAAATTCGAATAACTGGGCCGTGGGAGTCGTTGGTTAATTATGGCCATATCCAATATAATATTTTTGGAGTTCGCCTATAATTTTTGTACCGGCAATGCAATATATTATTTTATTACGCACGCTGTCTCTCCTCGCCACCCCACGGCCTTTGTTTCACCCCTCCCAGCCGTTGGATATTGTGCTGTTCGCCTCCCCCCACTCCACCTCGATCCCAGACTGAATTTCCTTCCCCCACCTCAGACTTTTTCCAACTCCTTTGAGGAGAGCAGCCGAAGCTGTAGATCAAAGAAGGAATGCCTCCCTCGCCGCTCCCGACCAGGGTGGAGTTGGAGCCTGGGTGATGGCAGAGGTAGGCTGTGCTAGTGTGCCTGGGACCCTGCTCAGAATACAGGTGGAAAACATGATTTGCTCTGAAGCAAATCCGGAACGAATACAGAGAAAGGGGAAGGCGGTGAAATCCCCTTTCCCGGTTGCGCCTGTAGATGGCGCTCCGCGGTTTGCTTTCTGCGCAGCTTCCATCGCCAGACCTAGCGAAAAGTTTCAAAGTAACCGGATTTTAACTTAATCTCTCCCCTCCCCCCCCCCAGGAGTTGATGCACACACAAACACACACACACACACCCGACTGTATCGGGAAGGGATCCAGAAAAGGCGCAGAGAATTTATTTAAATTATACCGAATCCACACACACCTTTTTACTGGAAATGAAACAAGGTAGTTTCTGGTATTTTCGTGCTATTTCTTCCAGACATATGGAAGACATATTTCATCTGCAAGAAGCAGGCCACAACCCATGAAGTATAAACCCCACTTCGGACATCAACTAACAGCGGTGACTTAGGCCCAGCCGACCCATTTTATAACCCCCCCATGCTCTTTCCTTCGCAGCACCCCCCCGGGGGGGTGCATCTGTTCCTAGGAGGTTATTGTTTGCCTCTCCCCGCAAGGCCCTCGCCGCCCTCCCCGCCTCGTCATTAGCGCACAGGGGAGTTCATTCTGTCTTCCAGCAGGTTTATAGGCTGACCCTATATTTAGGAGACAATAGTTCTGATTGTGGGAACGAGGCAGTGGAAGCGGGGGAGGGCCTGTTCCTTATCGAGGTTCTACAGGAGGAGGAGGGAGAAAAGCCTCTCCCGCCCAGAGCCCAATGCTTGGGTGGAAAGTGGGCAGGTGCAAAAATGCAAACCTAGAGAAAAGGCGTCCCCACGTTGCCTTCTCCACGGAGTGACGGGCTCCCCAACAAGAGAGAAGCGAAGCGGCTGCAAGAAGGTCGTGCAGAGCCGCAGATGCCACCAAATCCCATTGAAGTATCGGATAGAGAATGTTGTTTTAACTGCAGCCGTAGGTCTTATAAAACATCCCAACGCGAGAACCATATTATATATGTGTATATTTACGGCCCTGAAAACAAGCAGATCGCTGCGGTTGCCATCTTTATCTGTGAATAGGTATATCAGTTGTGCTCTCCGGGCATCCAAAGAGTTGTTAGAGAGAGCCTCTAATCTCACGGCACATCCGAAGTGTCACCCCCTGCCCCTCTCCGAGAAAGACTTCCTGGAGGAATTGCTTTGTCAACAATCAAATCCACACAACAATCCCTATCAGCCTGAGGGGGTTGGGGGGTTGGTTGTTCCTCAAGTAGGATCCCTGAAACCGTTTCCCCTTCTTCCTTCCCCAAACAGATGGAAGGACTGGATTTCAATAACTATAAAGAACCCCCCTCCCCTCCCTTCCACCACCCCCTCTCTGTTATCTTTGGGAAAACTCCCCAAGTCCCGCTCGCGGCCTGTCAGGCTTGGCTGCTTCTCCCCGTTTTTACTTTAAATGAATCTTCTTTCTCCTTTTTCAAAGAGGGTCTCCTGTCCCCGCTATTCATCGCTCACCTCCCAACTCGGGACATTTACACTTCAAAAGAGGCGACCGCTCCTCTGCGGAAATTTGGAAGGGGGGGGGGGAACCTCACAAACTTTTGGAGGAGTAGCGGAGGAGATAGTGATCTTTGCATTTACTTCATTAGCTCCTCTCCTCCCCCGGCTCCTTAGCTGATCAAGTCAAACCTATTGATCGCATCCGAGCCCCTGCAACACACCGAGGCTCCCCGAAGGTCACCTCAGAGACCTCACCCACGCCTTGGGAGCCTGCAACACAATGAAGTTTATCTTAACCTAGGGAGCTCTAGATAGTATATTTGCACCTCGACCCCCATTGCCTTATTGACGCTAGAGGATACAAAACCACGCCGCCACCACTAACAAGTAACTGCTACCAATTTCCCTCCTCGTTTCTTTGGGGCGCAAATATTTTCCTGCCAAACCAGATTGGACTCCGTCTGCTCCCTCTACCAGGGCGAGGTCCTGGCGGCCTCCAAACAGGCCTTACTGACAGGCAGAGAAACCTTGTTGCCCTTTCGGGACGCACACCGCGCGTTTTCCAGTTCCCGGTTTGATTCAGTAAACCCACATTCTTGCTCATTTCTTCTTGCTAAAAGGAGACGGCGTTGGGCAGTCATCTAAGGGGAGAAAGCCTCGATTATCTTATATGCATGAGATAAGACTATCATTCATGGGAGAGGGGATGTACACAAGCGGGCACACACGCGCCCAAAATGCACGGCGCGCCAGGTAGGGGGTAATCAGAGTTAAAAACAGCAGCAGCAGCTACAGGGCTATACCCGGATTTAAAACGGGCTCCGTTTCCGCACATTTAATATGTCCCGCATGCCGAGCTTTAAAAAAAGCTCACTTGCCGCTTGTGGAAACACTGGAGCAAATACACAGAGAAGCCCTGAATGAGCTGAATGTTGAGAAGTTGCTCCGAGGCGCCCACTCCCCAACTCAGGGGCGCTTAAGCAATGGGCGCTTGGCGGTGGATCGGGCCCTCAGCGGAGACTTGGCGCTGCCCTCCGCTTCCTGGTCCGTCTTTCTCCCCACCACCCCTCCCGGTGCCCGGATCCTCCGTCTCTTCTCTCCCCCCCCCCTTGCCCCTGTGGTCACGTTGGAGGATGAGGAGGGGTTGGCGTGGCTTTTTTTGAGAGAGAGAGAGCTTCTGGTACAATATGGAGCACCATGGGCTGCAATTTCACACTCCACGGCACATTTCCCCTAAAGCTACTTTCTTCTTTCCCAGCCAAGACCCCCTCATTTCCCTCCTCTCTCTCTCTCCCCCCCCCACCCCTTTCTCTTTTGTGACTCCTGGGTGGGTTCCATGTCTGGGGGACTTGACGGATACAGTCAGGCTAGGCTTAGCGTGGGCACCTTGGCACCGGGCAGAGGGGGAAATGAATGGACAGGGTGGAGGGAGAGGCAGGCGCGGGAAGGGGGGCCGAGTCTTGCGGGCCTCCTGCTGCTCCGGCTGTTGTTGGCTCTTCCCCCACCCTCCAGCCTTTCTTTCTTCCCCCCTTTGCTACATTTGTTTGCCCTCAAAGCTAAGAAGCCCACGTGCGCCGCTCTTTATTCGGCAACCGACACTTTAACCTCTCCTCTTTACAACGCAGCGCTGGCCACAAAACCCAGACAAGCCGGAGACCTTTTTACAGCCTCGGCTGGAAAGAAGGGGGAGGCCAGCTCAGGAGTGTGTGTTTTCTGCAGCGGGGCTGGCCAGCTCAGGGCTTAAGCTCAGAGTTTAAACTCAAGGGTTAAACCCAGCAACTAACGCCCACCCACCCCTCCAAACAAGGCCGAAAAGGTGCACCCATGCGCGAGTGCTTCCTTCCTTGCTTGCTTGCTGCAAGTAACGTCCTTTGCATCAGAAAAGCAGGTGGGCGTCCGGAGAGGAGCCGCAAATATGGGGAAGCAAGCGAGCCCCTTGTGCGGGGAACTGGGCTGGGGAGAGAGAAGGCTTGCTTTTGGTAAACAACCGCTGGGCGAGGCTTTTGGCGCAGACGGACAAGCTCCCCCCGCAGCCCGCAAATGCAAGGCGGCTGTAATTTGGTGGCCTCGCCCCTCTCGCCTAGAAAATGCACATCTCCATTCCTTTATTTGGTGATGGCGAAAACGGCTGGATATGCAGGAGACAGGATGGGCAGGAGACGTTACCTGGTTTCTCCTAGACAGCCTTAGCTCTTAAGGCGCTTGAGGGGGTCTGGTTCTGTCCTGGCTTCCCTCTCAGAAACAGGCTTTCTCGGGGATTCCCGCCCCCACCCCCGCCAGAGATATTTTTGTCTTCTCTAATTTCTCCATAAAACTCCCGATGAGTGAATTAGGCGCTTATTAAAGTCTCCTTTTAATCAGCAGTAATGGGAGATTTCCTCTCCCCCCCCCCCCCAGCTCCGTCCTCTCTCTCCCTCCCTCCGTCCAAGGTTGGCTTGCCTTGGGGCCTTTTGCAAATGTTAGGATTTACAGTGATCACAGACAAAAACATTTATATAACCCCCTAACTATAATGCACCCATAAAAACGGGGACATAGGTGGAAACTGCTGCGGCTCAGCGAAAACCCTGGCGCTTGCCCATTAAGTCCCTGGAAAGGGTAATTCCAGTAGAGGCAGGGCCAAAGTGAAATGATGAGAGCCTGCAATTCACAAAGCCCTACAGGAGAGGATTAGAAGGGGGAGCACTATATTCCCATCACCTCAAATCCATGAAAAAGGGGGAGCACTTCTCCCTCCCTCCCTTCCACCAAACAAACAACAATTCACTTCCTAGAAGGCCGAGAGGGCAAGGAGTTTATCTGTAGACTCTCTAGCTAATAAGAAAGTAGAACATTCCCATTTTCTTTTTCTTTCTATATACCTATATATATTCTATATATATTCTATATTATATATATCCATGTTACGGCCATTGTTTCCATGTTACTGGCCAGTTCCCGCATGAAATTATTTCTGTCGATAGAATAAAGGCACCTGCGATGTTGCTATTAATTTTCTGGTGTTCTTTCCATGACTGTGACATTATTTTTTAAGTGTTATTGCCGATGTATATTATCTGAATAACTTACGAATACTTCAAACGGCGCATCATTACTTTTTAGCAATTTCTGTTTGCTGAATAAAGGCGTTTTCTCTCCCGGGAAACAAAACGGTGGTGAGACAAAGTTAACCTCCACACGACAATCTATGTGTGGACACCACTATGCCACCCAGAATTTGGAAATGTGGCCGTTTCCTCATTCCTTGGTAACCAGGAGGATAGCGATTTAATTGCTGAGTTTGTCTGGAGGGAGAAGGGAGATAAAACCCCCCCAAAAGGGGCAGCGGCTCTCTCCCCGTCTCTGACCCTAATCCTTCCGCTTTCAGGTGGGGAGTCAGCCTCAGCCAGGGCCTTGGGAGGGCGAATACCAGGGAAAGTTTCTTCGTTTGCAAGAGAACAGTTTCCATCTTTTTCCTATAAGGGGGTGGAAAGGGGTGCTGTTGTTGTTGTTCCCTTCTTTCCCTCACCGTTTAATACTTCTTTGTAAAATCTGAAAGCAGGTAATCCTCAAATCTGAAGTCTAATTAAAAAGTGTGTCGGTCCAAGTCACTCGACTTTGGCAGGAATTGCTAATGGTGTGTGCGTGTGCGTGCGTGTGCGTGCGTACGCAGGGATCGGGAGGAATCCGGAGGAGGAAGGGTGAGGGGAATTATTGAACGAGAGTCCCCGAAAGGGACAAATTAAGGGGAGGGGGAGGGGGAAAGGGAGAGGAGAACGAGGCGAACGAACGAACAGGGGAAAAAACCACACACACACCCAAAGACCTCTCTGTGCAATTAAACAAATGCAGGATTTTAAAGTTATCTGAGACCATAGTCCAATAAAAGTATAGCCGCTTCGGGAAGCTTTTGGCTGGAGGAGCAGATCTAAATCCAAGATCAAAATTAATAATAACAATAATTGAAATGGTGTAAAAGGAAAGGGGGGGAGGAGAGGAGACACTGAACATTTAAGGGCAACATTAAATAGGGCATATGAGAATTGCGAACGGCTCCAAAAGCTGAGCAGCCAAACCTTCTTAGAAAGAGCTCCTTTCGTTGTTCCGAACAAACACCCCCAAAAGACCCCAGCCCAAAGCGATGCGAAGGGAGCCCCAGGTGAGTAGCAGGGAGGAAAGGGAGCCTTGCGGGACGCAGGGAAGGGAGGAGACACTCGGGTTCCTTCGCTCCACGTTCAGCCGGCACCGGCTGGGAAAAGGATGGGCTCGTGGGGGAGGTCCATGCTGCAACGAAGGGGCCAGAGAGGCAGGAGCAAAAGGGGCTCCCCAGTCTTTGAACTGCGGCCTGGCCGGGGCTTTCCACAATCGCCTCTCTCCCCGGCCCACCCAAGCTGCCTCCCCGATTTCTCCGACCCCGAGGTTTGCAAAGACGCCTCTCCCTAACCCACCCCTCACCGCTGGCCAGTCTTTCCTCTGCGTGTGATCCTGACCTAATGGATTTCGCTGCAGCCCTTTCCACGCGGCGGCGGCGAAGTTCAGGATTTCCTCTCTGCAAACTTTTCTCAATATAGCCGCCCTTGGATGCTGCTGAGGTGGTTAGTTAATTTTGGACACACTTTTCCCTTAGAGAGAGAAAGAGAGAGAATAAACCTCCAACGATTTCTCTCTGCCCCCAACAAACTTCGGCATAGATCTCCAACTTTTCAGAAGATCGCGCGTCTTCTTCTGCTCAGAAGCAGCTCGTGGCACCTGCGCTAATCCTTCGCGTACATTTTCAGGTAAGACGGCGGTAGTTCGTGGGGAGGAAGCGGAGAAAAGTCCCGAATGGATTCTAATTTCAGGAGTCCTGGCGCTGCTCTAACTTTCAGTGCATAATCCAGTCAAAATGTGCGTGTATTTCACAGGCGGAGGGATGGGTGGAGGGGGAGCGACCGAGGGGCCCACGACAGCTCACCTTTTGCCCGACCAGGCAAGAGCCCCAACCGACAAGAAGGGCTACAACAGCCTTTCGCGATAGGCCAAGCCATCCTTTTGAATATATTAGTTAATAAAACGGATTAGCAGAGCTCCGGGGCGCCTGCCTGCCCTCCTCGCGCGCGCGTGTGTCTCTGTGTGGGGTTCAGAAAAGGACAAAGGAGAGGTATTTTAATATATACATATATATATATATAATAAATATATATAGCAGTATATGTAGGAGTTTTCTTCTGGGCCTAGCTGATCATGGTAACACTGCGCTAAAGCTCGAGGGGAACCAGCAGAGCAATCACGGCTTTGAGGGTTGGAAATCTCGTTTACCCCACTTCTAAAATGGGCAGGATTTTTAAAAAGGGAGAGGACAGAGGCTCCAGCTCAAGAGCTCCAGCAAAGTCTGCTTTCCACACCGTGGAATCGGGTTCCTTCTTGCCTCTGCTGTCTCCGCCTAGGGGACCGCGGACACCCCCCGCCACACAAACACCGCAGGACCGGGAAGGCCCCGCAAACCCACCGGGGCTGGCATTTGTACGCGAAGGCTTACGCGGCACTTTGCTCGTTCCCAAACCCGGGGGAAGAAGCAGAGTTTCTGTTCGGTTAATTTCACTGCGCTCTGCAGCTCCCCCCCCCCCATACAAAAAAATATTCCATTTTTCATCCCTAAAGGAGCCGGAGTGGGGGGGGGGAGTTCCCCAGACGTCAGTCTTTGCCTCCTTGCCATGCTTTCTAGGGCAAATTGCAGGGAGTTTGGAGAGGTGGGGAACGGCGCGGTGGGTTGCGTTGGGGGTTAAAGCGAGGAAGAAGAGAACTAGCAAGCTGCAAAGGTTGCTGTTGCGATTTGCTGTTTTTTTTGGGTTCTGATTTAGCAAAGCTACCCAAGCCAGAGTCCTCGCCCGGCTGCTTTCTAAAAGGGACCAGCGGGGCGA